GGTCACAGACACTTCATTCCATCCGTTGAACCCGTCCCCCAATTCCAGTACACCACCATACTTGGGCACGGTCACAGATTGACCAAATACACACCATCCCATACATGCCGACACCGCTATAGTTACAACCACCCTCCAACAATAACACCAAAACTTATTAAATTAATTGGTCACAAATTATTTCGAGATCACAAATCAAAAAATTAAGTCATTCACAATTGACTTCATTGATCACTGATAAAAAAATCACAAGTCACGGATTTTTTTTATGGAGGTCACGGATTTTTAATTGGTCACAACTTAAAAAAATTATTCCATATTTGTTGGTCACATGTTATATTTTTAGTCACATATTAACGAATTTTAAGGTCACAAACCCAATCTTAGTACACCACCAATACTTGGTCACATGTCACAGATCGACTAAATGGTTGGTCACAGACACTTCATCCCATCCGCCGAACCCGTCCCCCAATTCCAGTACACCACCATACTTGGGCACGGTCACAGATCGACCAAATACACACCATCCCGTACATGCCGACACCGCTACAGTCACAACCACCCTCCAACAATAACACCAACAACAACCGCCATCGTCGCCCCCTGCACAATACCACCAATATCGTCGGCCCCATTACAACACCATCACACGAACGATCATTTTATTGTCACCACACGAACACAAACTAACCAGCCACAGAACACACGATAGGATGAAAACTGAACCCAATTCGCCGACCTTCGCACCATGACACATAAACAAATTCGCCCACAACAGTCCCTCAACAACAATAGATCCTCCACCACCAACAACAGCAAACATCAACAACCAACCACCAATCCGCCACCCACAGCAACTAACAACAGCCAATCCACCACACCCACACACCTTAGGAGCGTCGCATAACAGACTACCGGTACCAGCTGTTCGTCAGAGTCTACGCATAACAGAAATTAGAAGAAAGAGTAAAGGAAAAGAACAATGTATTTTACACATCACTACACAAGGCACATAGGGATGGAGAGGGAGAGGGAAGGGGCAACAGCATTGCTGTGACGCTGCTGCAAAGGGGGGAGGAGATGGGAAGGGATGGAGAGGGAGGGGGAAGGGGCTGCCGTTCAGTAGCGTCAGCGTCGCTGCGATCACAACAGTGTCACTGGAGAGGGAGGGGGCTACCGTTCAGTAGCGACCCTGCTGAACGGCAGCAGCGTCGCTGCGATCGCAACAGTGTCACAGCAACGCTGCTGCGATCGCAACAGCGGGAGGGAGGGACGGGAAGGGAGGCGGCGGCGTGGTGGGAGAAATGTGAGAGGAGAGAAATGAAAATGAAATGGATTAGGTTAGGGTTTTGGGTAGATTTAAGATTTTATATTTAANTTTGGCGGTTCTATGTAGTAGGGTGTGTATATATGTTAATTTTAATTTTATAATATCATAATTAATTAAAAATGATAAAACCTGATTTTTGATTAGAAAAACTTAAACCTGATTTTCATAAACTTAAAAGTAAACAATTGGTTTTACGTAATTATCCCATTTTCTTTTTGTAAACTTTCACTTTTGACACTACTTTATGTGGATCGAAACACACACTACGTCCCCGATTTTTGTCTTAATCTCTTTTCCGTTATTATTCTTTTTCATAGTTATTTATTTACTAAGAAATAAATTAAAGTTCAGAATTTATTCATATTAATGAATCATTAACTATTTTATCAATTATTTGAGAAAATAATGTAACAAGAAAATGAAGAAATAGATGATGCAATGCGGTATTTAAAATTAAACTTTCCACGCGACATTAAATTGAGCTAAAATAAAAGTGCATAACAAAAACTTAAAAGAATTTTTTAATGAAAAATGTTAAACAGAAAAGTTTTAGATTTTTATATGTCGATTATATATTTGAAATAGGAATATCTATTGATGTTACTAGTACGGTGGAATGTCATTAAATCTCCAAGAATCCAATGTATATATTTTAAAGATCGAGAAAAAAATTTAAGTATAAAAACTGAAAATGTAGAGAATGAATATGAAAGAGAAATACCTTCAATCTTCAGGCTTCTGCATAGGAGTTTACCTTGATAACGTGACACAAAGATCTTGAAATCGTGTTTTATTTCTAACTAGTGTTCCAAAAAGTGCGCATAGGCGGAAAGCGTGATGAAAACGCTTCGCCTTGAGCCTAAGTAGAAATTAAGCAGTCAACGATAATGTTGACCGCTTAATGTTCGTCAAGGCGCTCCTAGGCGCGCTTTCGCCTTGAGTCTAAGCAAGAATTAAGCAGTCAACAAATATGCTCGTCTAAGCGCGCTTCCGCCTTATGCCCAGACTTTAAGGGGGCTCAATTTTTTTCCTTTTTTTTTAAAAATAAAATCCACAGTCCAGAATCAGTAACCCACAATCCCTTCAAACTTCAAAAACTACGGACTTCGGAGAACTGAAAAGACGGAAGAACGGGGAAAAAAAAAGACGGAAGAACAGCGCAAAACCTCTCAATTTCTCCGCACACCGCACTGATTTAGGTATCAAGTATGTATAAGAAATGATCAAAATGAAATAGAGAGCCTGAGAATGATGATTTTGTATCGAACGATACAGATGGCGAATTAGATGAAGAAGAAGAAGAAGATATTGAATTGGAGTCCGATAAAGAGTTAAGTTGGATAAGATTTAAGTTACAAATTATCTACGTTATATAATTTTTTTGAAACTTATCTTTATGTAGGAATTATTAAGTAAATACAGTATTTTATAATTTTAGATGTTTAGTATGTATTATTTGAATTGTTGAATTTTTTACAATGATTAAAAGTTTAAAATAAAAAACGTTTTTTACTCCTAAGCTTCGCCTAGACTCATGAAGCTTGAAACTTGGTCTCCATGCCTAGTGACGCTTTACGCTTTTTAGAACACTGTTTCTAACCGGTGGATCTAAAGGGACGCATGTCCTTGTGCATTGTCAAAAAATATGGAGCTTATCTAGAAGGTAGTTAAAAGTTGTCAAGACGTGGGTGAAAGACCGAGAGAGTAGTGGTGGTTCGATCTCCACCTCCCCATGTAGGGATGGTCGAGATCAACCGTTACAAACGGGGGGTTGGTTGACCTCAACAATCCCCTCTTGGAGCGTCGAGGCTTTCAAGAGTGAAAAGTTAACACGTTGTAGGACATCAAAACATTTCATTTTTAGATGCTCAAATCAGTTTCAGATTTTGTAGTGTATTTTAATTTAGTATCATCTCTAATCAAATAATTTTCTTCTATTACGTTTTATCGAATCTAGTTTTTTGACTTATGTGTTAAGGTAGGACTCAAAAGTAGTTAATAATATTAAAATTTTATTAACTTATAATTAAAAAGGGGAAAATCCATCAAGAGCTTGTAATGAAGTCAAACACACTTAATTTCAAGGGAAAGAATAATAATTGTTCACATGAATAACGCGTAAACAGTAATGATGATAAACACATATTTCTAAATTATCATTGCTTGATTAGTTGAACCAATCATGATGCTAGTAATTGTTATTCCATAAAGGAGAAAAATTGAATGTTTCGCAATGAAAAAAGTCAAGTGAAAGGCCTAATTCAAAATACCACGTGAATTAGTTAGATCGAGCATAAGAACGACTATAGAAGATAGAGCTTATACTGAGAAGAGATTAGTGGGAAAGTTAGACAAAAAAATATAGATATTAAACAACCACCACATGATAAGGCAATGGGGGAGACTAAATTGTCCAAGGTGTTTTTTTATTTTATTTTTTGATGACTCAGGTGTCCAAGTTTCGAATCTTGAGGAATGACGGCCTTCCCCCTTGGTTCGCTGCTCGGGTTAATTTGAATGCGGTCACAGCTTATATACACTTGGGTTGAACATTCGGTGGTTCTCCTCCTTGTGGATCTCTTTGCTTTCCAACATTTAAGGTGTTTGACACCCATTTTTAATTTGGAGAATAGAATTTTTGGAATAGTGATTGATGGGAGAATGTGTAGTGGAAAAGTTATGAAAAGTTTTAAATTTATGTGTAATATTATTTTATTGGGAGTATATGTGGTTGAAATGAAGAAAGATAAAAAAATGAGAATGAGATGAGAATATGATTCAAACAGGGGCTAAATGTTACCTTCCAACATAAATGTTGCAATCCAGCTGTCGCGGGGATTCGAACTTTCGATACTCTGTAAAGAATTCTTCTGCTTTACCAGTGTGTCATGCCCGTCGGGGCAATCCAAGGTCTTTTTAACTTACTGGGAGAAGTCATACCATTCAAATGCCTAGTTGAGTAAGACTTTTTACTCTAACAATGCAGTACCTCTCAAATGGAAATGGTAATTCATTCATTCATCCATCTTCCTCAAGTTAAAAGAATCACATGTTCTATATCAATACCCACCTCTTTCGCTATGTCAAATTATCTTGACAGCCAATTAACCAGAAAATTTTTATGCTATCATGATTGCACTCGAGGCTTTTCGCCTAATTTCAAATCTTTAACAACAATTTTTAGGCTCACTACTTTATCTTGAATCGTCTATACACGTTCAGAGATTTTTCAATGACCAAGTCTAAAATTTGAGCAATACCACTTATTTAGATGTCAGGTTTCATTCCAAAAGCTTTAACTTCAAGACCAATTTCGTTCTTAGTCAGCGCCTTTCGTTTGTCATTTCTCAACACAATCTTGAACAAATAAATTGAACAATAACAAAGGAGAAGATGAAAATATGCCTTGATGAAAAATCAGAAAGTGGCAACTGATCTGTCTCAATAAAATTAATAGCAGTACAAAACATTTAATTATCTAACAAAACCACTTGTACGTACACTCTGTTAAACATAATCCCACAAAATTCATCAGCAGACATCAAGCCATTCTACAATAAATAAATCATTGGTGAAGAAAAATATATTGTAAAAAAATCCATGTACATACGCAAGAAATTACTAGGCCACGAGAGCTGAAAGGATATATTCATTTATTTCTCCTAGCTCAAGAAGCAGCCTGTTGAGCATGCAAAAATGAATATAATTTAGGTTTAGCAAGAGAGAGTCCGTTATTAGTAGCGTTCATAGCCGTGGTGGTGGTCGTAGCAGTTTTGGTGGAGGGAGTGGCGGTCGAGGTGGTCACGCGCTCACAAGAAGGGCACATTGCCAGAGTTGTGGCAGGTTGCTGCATGTATAAAGGTTGTGAAGCCTTTAAAGCTCTTAATTCTTGAATCTCCTTTTGCAGCCTCCTATTTTCATCTGTCAGTTTCTCACAGCATCTCTTTAAATACTCACAATCTACCTCTGTCTGCTTCAACTTTGTTCTGCAAATCATAAATGCATCAAATAACTGCTTCATTAAACTGTCACAAGAACCAGCAATTATTTTCTTAATAAACAAAATAAAAAAAAGTTTGTACACACCTAGCTCTTCTGTTTTGGAACCATACTTCAACTTGGCGTGGACGGAGATTCAACTGCTTTGCAAGAGCAAGCTTTTGTTTCTGCGTAACAATGAGCTACAATATAAGTTAGAGTGTCATTGTCAACCTTCTAAGCTTTCAAATGAGGTGATTGATCAATGGGATGAGGTCACACTGTCACCCTTTTACAGTAAAATTGTACACATGACACGGTAGTTTTGACACGCGTGAAGGGTGAATGTAACATCTTTTAGACCAGTGGTTTAACAACATCTGATGAAATATGATTTACAAAATTATGATACATGGTCGTGTTGATAACAAAATTATTAGTTATAGGGTCGAACAAAAATACACACATAGATAGAGGTTTAACTATAGATGTATGACTTACAGGGTTGAGGGTGTTGTGTTCTTTGAAGCTCTCTTCAAGAAAAGCAGACTGTTCTTTTGAGAGCCTAAGTTTTTTTCTGGCCATACCATTTTCTTCTTCGTCACTTGCTCTTGAAGAAGCCCCTCTGTCCGCCTCAACTTCGTTTGCATCTCTTTTGCCCCTTGTATAAATCGAAAAATCCATCTGAAATGATGAAACTGTGCTGTTTGGAGATGACAGTGCTGCACCATCTTCGACTTCCTCAGCCGTTAAGTTCCTTTGGTTTTCGTCCAACCCTTTCCTCGGTTCAGTAACCACTGTTGCACAATTAAACCATACAATAGATTAAAATTTAAGAACGGTCCAAAACTCGAACTTTTAGACTAGACAATTCAAGAAAATATGAGAACAGGCAAAGGTCACGAGTTTAAGTCTAGCTCGGCTTATGAAAATTGTACCCCTATTAGTCCTTACACGCGAAAATATATCTGGTCTGCTCTCAAGCAAAAGACAGTAACTAAATACAAATATGCTTCTAATAATATTTAAGCTTTTAAAAACAAATTAAAAATCTGAAATGAAAAATTATATTACATATGTATCAACTGCAGCTGCGAAATAATCAGAAACTGATATTCAAGAACATAATCATGCAAGAAAATTTAGCACTGTAAATGAAATCTTAAAATCATTCTGGGAGCGACACAGGAAATGAAAAAAACCGCAAACAAAAAAACTCAGTGAGAGAAAAAAACAACGGACAGAAAGAGATGGCATTACAGTTTTGAGTGAGCCAAGGGAAACGAAGATTTGATGATTTTTGACTGTGTGGAACAGGAGAGAAAGGCAGAAGATCTAGCTGAAGTGGTAGATCTGATGAAGACCCTTTTCTTTCACCATCATTCCTTGTTTCTTTCTTCTTGATTTCATCTTCTCCCTTCATTCCTAAAGCCATGCAGAACCCTAAATCATCTTCGTCAATAATTTTCTGTGATTTGCCGAGCAAAGTGAATCCCTTTGACGTTTCACCCAGACTCAAACCCAACTCCATGAGGAAAAACCTAAAAGGAAAAAGAGAGTTGAATTGAAATGGCTTAATTGTTGATTGAAGGGAGACTAGGGACTCAAGAAATTTAAAAGTAGAAGGGTTTGTATAGTATCAAGTCTTGGGTTCTGTAGCAGACAGTCCAATCTCATCTCCTAACCTAGCTTTGTCAAAGTAAAAGATTGTCCAAAAAATCCAAGATTTTGAAAAACGCACGTGAATCCATATAAAAGTATATACATATATGTTGTATGCGTGTTTCGACTGGGTGGGGGTACTTGTCTCTCTGTTGGTACGTGAGAGAGAGGGAGAGTGTGTGTGTGAGAATTGAGTTTTTAGTATAAGTAACTATGTCTAGTATATCATAATTTGAGGGCTATGACTGATGACAGTTGGTTATACTATTATTGTTAAGAATTCAATACTCTGGAAAAATAGGCCAAGTTAGTATTGTCTATATTTTAGGTTTGGCAAATCTATGCTTCAATTAAATGACAAACAATACTTAAATCTTAAACGAATAAAAATTATTTTACAGGCTCATATTAGTTTAGATTGAGATAGATGGTCATCCAAAAATATTCATATTTGAACTCGAGAGCTTTTTTGAGATTTTAGATGGACAGTGATTCATTTGAAAAGAATCATCTTGTAGCTCGTTTGATCATTAGTGATTTTAGATAAACGAATTGCTTGTTTCTATTATCAAACGTCGATAACAAAATTATTTACAATATAAATCAATATGAATCCAAATTAATGGATGGATATTACAATTTTGGGCCAAATAATTAATTATTATTACCAGCACCCTTTTTTCTTCTTTCTATAAGGCATCACTTATTACTCTATGCCATTAAATTTAATTGTTGTGACAATGAATAATGGCACTCCACCGCTAAAGAGTGGAATATATGGAGATGCCTTTAATAAGATTTGATTGCGTAATTGGAAAATATAATGCCAAGACTAGACCTATATAGGGCCAACGCATTATGAACTATGATTAGATAATTAATTATTAGATGAGAAAATCATTATTTCTTGTAAGCAATGGATTCAATAAACAAAAAGATTTGAATTAAAAAATAAATAGTAATTTTACTAAATTATGTGAATACAATAATAATGGCGTAGTACCTTTTCAATAAAAATGTACATTCGACCGGTTTGAGTTAATTTTATATTTAATCTTTTGACATTCGTTTATAATTTGTTTTGTACTATATTTGTTTACATTTTTTTCTTCGAATTGTTAACTTACTTCCAATCCTAGTAGTCATGTGGTTCTCTATCAATTTACTTGTCTATTGGAATTTTAACCCCAATTTATGTTATATCAGGTGATAGGCTAAATGAAAGTTATCGAACAAATTTATTAAATGACATGAATGAATCTCTGATCAGACGGCTGCTGGCTACTTCTACCCATAGGGATCAGACTATGCTGACTGGCCGAAGTTTGGTCTAAACGAAAGGCACACACTTTAGGAAAAAAGATTACATGATTTTTTTTAAAAAAAAGACACTAAAAAGTTTGGTCGGATTTACAATAAATTTGACCATAATTTGTTCCAACCAAATGTTTTTAATTGAGCTGACAAGCTGACCAAAGTTTAGTATTTCAAGAAAAGTTCTTCGAGGATAATGAGTGCGATTGTTCGTTTGTTAATTTATAGATGTATTAAACTAATTAATCACACCCTTGTTACTAATATTAGTATTGAGCATGGTATCCAATGATTCTTTAAGTAAAACATGTTTTTTTTTTTAATTTGTCATTGTTATTAATGAAGTTTTTGTGATTATCAAACAATTAATTTCATTATATCTAGTGAACACAATGAAACAAAACGAATAAATGTAGTAAGGCATAGATATATTTATATTTGCAAAAACTTGTGTATACAATTGAAATATGTAATTGACAAAATTTATGTAACTAATTTATCTCATAGTTGAAGTTTTTATACGAACTAGTTAAACACGATATCAGATTTATTAAAGATAATGAGTGCAAGACTATCTGTCACCGTTTCTAAAAGTCATACATCTATCAAGAATTTGATCAATCAATCAATCATGCACAATGGACTTTAAAAATAAAAATTTAAATGAATAAAGTTGTCTTAATATACAATAACGTAAATGTGATAATTTTTTATTTAAAAAAAAAATTGACATGACCAATGACCGTAAGTCCAAGAAAAATATGAAGTG